CCGAGGGCTCCCAGTCCCACGTCGGCAGCTGGGGAGGGGCGAGGAAAGAGCCGGACAGGCACCGCCGACCAGCCCAGGAGACTGACAACCAATGAGGAGGGCGCCTGCGCCACGAGCCGGGGACATCCACCAATCGGAGGCTGAAGTGGGCGGGACGTGCAGATGAGTGCGCCCCATCACTTCCCAGCCTGTTGGCTAGTTCCCGCCTTTTTTTATGGAGAGTTAGGAGGATGTTGCTTCAGGTTACGGAAAAATTATTGCCCCGGTTGTCCACTGCGCATGCGTGGGATTGCGGGCCGGAGCCGGAGGTTTTGCAGGAGCCTGCGGGACAGCAAACCCAGGCAGCACCGTTTCTGGTGCAGAGAGGGACCCACAAAGCCCTGGGTGCCAGTGGAGCCTATTGGACGTTTCCACTTTAATATCTCAAAGATACTTAACTTTACAGTCCAATCGACTTTTTTTTTTCCTCCAAAGTTTCCTGTCTTCCTGAATTACATCATCACCCAGCAGGCCAGACAGTAGGGAATTACAGCGACCCTCCACCCCTTACATGCCTGCACCCAGTCAACTCAATTCAACAGATGTTTATTAGTGTGTCTTCGGGTGGTGATGGTAGGAAGCAGCAGCCCCTATCCTCTCCAGGCCTTCATAATATCTTTTTACTTGGCCTATGGCAACTGACCTGCTGCACCAGTCTTAATTTTCTCCAGTTGGCTACACACAGCCCATCTCTAGAGCCACAGAAAGTTTTGGGAAATGCAATGTGACTGCATTGCTTTCCTTCAAAAGTTCTCAATTGCTCTTGGTACACAACCCACTCTTTAGAATATGGTTTTCGAGTCTCTCAAATTTCCATCTGTGGTCTCTTATCTCCATCCTTACCAAGCCATGGTCAGTTCGCTGAACACTCAAAGTTCTCCCTTCTGGGCCTAGAGCATTTGCTGATCCCTCTGGCTGGATTACTTGTCTTATTCTACTATTCAATTTCCACATCACCTTCCTTTTTCTACTTTACTCTTGTTCCCCAAGGCTCTTTTTGAAGCCTTTCTCAAACGTCAACTCTGTGTTAGATGCCCCTGGAACAGGAATCCCCTACTTCCCTGCCCAGGCACTTCCCATACGGTATTATAAATGTTTATAGTAAAATTATTTCATGAAGAAATGTATATACATTATTTTCATTTGACAACCAGCTTTATTACGTATAAGCAAATTCTCACAACGGACCTCACCTTTTAGGAAAAGAAACCTTGGGGGAACACTTCCTATCATATCACCAGCATTTTCTGGTATCTCTGGCAGACTAGGAATAAACTGGAGGTATTATGAGATTTTAAAAAACTTACATTATATTTTAATTTGAAAGACACACATGCAGCTTAGAAAAAAACAGTCAAAATTATATGAAATAAAAATTTAAGTCCTCATTTTCTCTTTTCCTTGCCTATACCTAATACCCAAAGATAACCCTTGTTAATAGTTTAAGGTGGATCCTTTCAGACATGTATTTGTAAATATATGTGGTATTTGCAAATCAAGAAGATGAATCAAACTGGTCCTGAAAATAAAACCAGAATAGCAATCTTGAATGCTGTGAGACCATTTTTTCTGTCTCTTGTCTTTCTTCTCTTTGTTATCAACTTTGTTTTTCACTCTCACTGAAGACAGGCTTCTAGATTTCCTCAGTTCACTTGAATGAATATGGCCGAGAGCAAGCCCCAAATTTGTAGGTCCTCAGAGTTTAACCAGACTATCCAAGAACCTTAGTCAACTCCCGATCCCAGGAAGAGGCTTCCATTGGCCCTAGGGTGAGTCAGATGTCCTTTCTGGGGCCTGCAAGGAGGAGGTCAAATTGGGGCAATGATAAAGGGTGGGGAGTCTGGTCATATAAGACCATAAGTATCCACCATGAATTTGGTCCTCATTCCATGTTGGTACATTATTTTAAAAGACTGTATATCAGCCCATTGGATTTAAAAAGTGCAACAGTATTAGTAGACATTTACATTGTGTCTCGTTTTTCATTATTAAGAGCAATATAGCAATGAACATACTTGTGTTTTCCTGCAATCACCTATATTATACATCATAGAATTTGGGGACCATAGGATATGTACACATTTGAATTTGCCCACCAAAATGTTGTAGTAACAAATGACACCTCTACATACTAGTATACCAGGTATTCCCATTCTTTTTAGGCTCTGCCAGTACATTGTTAAAAAAACCAAAAACCCATAAGATTTTTATTCGCCTATTTAACAATATTTACTGAGTTTGTTCTGTGCCAGGCTTGGTCCTGGGCCTTTGGGATTGTATCAGGAAACAAAGCCCCGCCCTCATGGGGCAGGAACAATGTCCAATTCAACATAAATGTTGATAACTGCTCTGGAGAAAAATAAAGAGTAAAGAGGTTCGTCTGGGCTGGTCAGTACTAGGCAGACATCTGGGGAAACAGCACCCAGGTCTAAGGAAGCAGCATGCCAGGCGAATCCAAGGAAAAGCAAGGATACAGGCTAGGGCAGAGCAGGAAAAGATCTTAGAGTAGGACTCAGCAAACTCATTAGTCAACAGAGCCAAATATCCACAGTACAACAATTGAAATTTCTTTTGAGAGCCAAATTTTTTAAACTTAAACTATATAGGTAGGTACATTGTTATTAACTTAATTAGGGTACTCCTAAGGCTTAGGAAGAGGGGCCAAAGAGCCGCATGTGGGTCGCGAACCGCAGTTTGCCCACCACGGAGAGGGAATATCTTTACCCTGATTGCAAGCCGCTTGCGCTGTCTGTAATAATATTAACACCAATAGCAAGAGGTCATTCTGCTATTCCAACCTCTCATCTCTATACTTGGTCAGATAACTGCCCCGGAGTTCACAACTCAACTGCTGCGTAATCTGTGGAGATCGCTGTTGCACAAGAATGAAAAGAAGGTAGTCATGCATAACTCCGACCACCTGGGTATCTAAGTAAAGACTGATTCATGCTGGTGACACTCGCCCAGAAACCTTCAAGACCCCCCTTTCCCAGACACCCCCGTTAGATGCTGGCAAGCCCGGCGGCGGCAGAGAATCGCGGCGCCCGCCTGCGCACCCGAGGGCTCCGCCCAGCCCTCCAATGGGCGGGGAATCCGCTACGTCCCCGAAGCCGCCCCTGTAACTTTGGGGGGCGGAGAGGGGGGGAGGAGGCGGGAACGAGGCGCGTCGTAAAAGGTCGCGGTGGAACTTCCCTACGGTCTGGACACCTGGCACTTTACGGTGCCAGGCGCGGCTGACCCCGGAGATGTCGGCTGCGTGTTGGGCGGATCCCCTGGGTCCTCCCAGCAGCTTTGCGAAGCGGGTGCTGGTGACCGGGGGCGCTGGTTTCATGTAGGTAACGGCGTCGCTGGCCGAGTCGTGGCTCCCCAGAAACCCCAGCCTTTTCCTGCGGCTCTGCGTGCTCTTGGCAGCTTGGGACCAGCTTTGGGTGTCTGAGACGGGGAGAGCCTTAGTGCATGACCGGTATCTGCCTGCCTTCTCCCCGCTCCTGGCCTGCGAGGACCTGGTTCCTTTGAAACGGCGACTTCTTTAAAACGCCTTCCTCCCCAGGCAGAGGGGCGGGGTACCCGCCCTCCTACCTGGCCCGAGGTGCACCTGTCGCTCTTCTGAGTGCGCCCGTAATTGCAGTAAGCTTCTCGCCAGTTGCTTCAGCCCTCCGGACCCCCCTCCCCTCCAATACACAGGTCTTGTCGCCAAAAAAATAAATTTTTGTAATGTGATAGGACATTGATTTATTCAACGGACTTAAAAATTCTCTGTTGGTACTAAACGTTTGCTGCCTCTTTCCCTCGCACCCACAATCAACAAGTCCTCTCTCGCTACTTCCAAATTATCCTCAAGGCCTCTTCTCATCCCCTTCCCCTTGCACCCAGCCCATGTTACTTTCTTCTTTTGCCTGGACGACTGCTGTAGCCTCCTGATTGGTCACAATGCTTCCAAGTCTGTTTCTCACAAGTCAGTGCTTATTAAGTAAGCGTGCACAACTTGTACTCCGATGATTCCTATCAGATTTAGAATAAAAGCCAGACTCTCTCCCGTATTTAGAAGACTCTCACATGCCCAAGCATTACTTTTCCACTCTGATCTCCTGCCAGTCTGCCCCTAGCTTTTCTGTGCCCGCCACATTGCCTCTTGCCTTCCCTGGAACACAGGAGGCTCCTTCCTCCTTTCTTGAGGCCTCTGCCCTTGCTTCCCCTTTGCTTAGGCTGTTTGCGTCACTCAGTTCAGATGTTTCCTCAGACGCCACCTCCTCAGGCCTTACCTGACCACCCTATCTAAAATGAAATAGCCCCTCCCTACTAACACTTACCACGCCCCGAAATGGTATTACGCATTGTGTTTATTATTATGTATCGTTTATTGCTTGCATCCCCACTTCAGAATGTAAACAGAATGAGGGCAGAAACTGCTGCTCTCTTAGCACCCGGAAGAATGCTCGTTTTATAAAGGTCTTCAGTAATTGTTGAATGGATGAGTGCATAAGTGCAAACAAGAAACACTCCCAATGCCTCGTGGAAGAAGAGGGACGTGGGACTCTTTCTCCCAAGCCCATTAGCACATTAAATCTTCTCTTCTGAGCTGAAAGTGACTTGGAGAAGGGTACCAGCAGGCAAGGTTCACTTAATGAGAACAGGAGCATGGGCATGAAAGGATGGTACCGGTATGAGAGTGCTGGTCCAGGAAGGGTATTTCTAGAAAATGCTATGAAAGGGCTGTTAAGTACAAACTCTGAATGCAACATTTGGTCGAGGGCTGCCCTTGTTCCTGCCCGTGTTTGGTGTGTATGATAAAATCTGGTGGATCATCTCACTGAGACATGCCTCTGGTTCCACTTCAGGGTCCTCTGAAACCCAGGAGCCACTGTGGGTATCTAACTCAGATGGTTTCAGCTAACCTTGGAAACCTAGGTTTAGTCTAG